AAAAAAAACAATAATTGCATTTTTTATTTCAATAACGCATGAGTAAACAGGGATATGAACGCAGATTTAATATAGGCCCATAGAATTACGGGGACCGGCAAGGATTTGGAAAGTCTGAATACAAGTCCTGCTTACACCTAACAAGTGCTGAAATGGGACATAACCAGAGGTAGAAAGGTCTCGGAAGCACTTGGGAAGAGGCTTCCCAAGACCTATCCAGTTCTGAACGGAAAGACCTGAGTAGAACTTGTCAGGTCCAATTATTCGACTCGGGTTGCTGGTGAGGAAATCACGAGTACACTCAAGGATCCACAAAAGGATTAACTTACTGAATCGAACTGAATTGTGAGTAACACATTATGAACTTGAAACAAATTCAAATCCTTCAGATCATTCCAGGAGTAGAAATGTTCGAGTATTTTTGTAAATTGTAATCCCATGTTTTGTAGCGATTTCTAAATTCCACAATTAAAATCAGACATAGCAAAACACCTCTAGACTTTTAATTGTTAACTGTTCTAAATTAATTCCTATCCCGTAATTAAACCCCTTCCCAGTCAATATTTTCCCATTTAAAATCGAGTCACAAACTTATCTACTAAAGAAAAGGTAAGAGTATAAACTTTGCGTCGTCCAATTAAATTAAACTCTTTTAGTAATTTTCGCTTCTATTTTTGATATAATTATTGAAAATTAATCCTTTCGAACGCTGAACAATTTTTGGGCATAATAACTGCATTAATTGTTTTGCCTGTTCCCACACGCCTCCGCGGTTTTTCTGAACTGGTCGTGGAATGCGCTTCAACATTGTGACCTTGTCCTTGAGAGGTTAAAAGGACTGGCCCCCTTTCGGTAAATTTTGGTTCCTCTCGACTTTCCCCGTCGTTCTTATTTTGGGTTGAGAGATTCCAAAAGGGTTGCTGAAAGTTAGTGGACGACAACGCATACGATTTCCCGCATGTGTCGTTGAAAAATACGTCACAATATACATACATGTAACTGTGTTGCAATGTACAAAAAAAAGATTTATGTACAATGGGAAATAAATAATAATAATATTCATTTGGTCATATTGAACTCTACCATTCGTTAATAGTTAACGAATCTCGTTTGGAATAAATTAATTAATCTATCAGTGAACGTATGGGAGGTTACGCTAATAATGAAAATGTAATACTTCTAGAATTTGGGGGAAATTTTTCAAGTTTTCTTTATTGCATTTTTTGTACTTTCCCATTTAACGTATGTCTCTGTTTTCAAATTTGAATAGTTCTGAAAATATAGAACTGTACGAATTCATAGAAACACAATTCTTCAGATTTCGAGAAACCTCCGATCATTCAATTTGATTTTTATGATTATGAAATATTGCGTATTGTTAAAACTATAAAAGGAATAGTGTTTCCACTTCTCTAAAAGACCTCATAGGAATCACGATGAAGCTCAACTAAATCGTCCAATCGCTGAAGAAATAAATTTTTTTCATTGTTCTTGCTGTCCAATTGTATAAATGGAAAAAACGGAATATTAGCGGTTGGTATGAGTAATTGTTTATTTATTTACACTGCTGATACAGACGTAGATGAGATATTCATTGTATAAACCACTTATGTCAACTCTAGAACAATATTTCTTTCTTTCTTTCAATATAAAGTTTCTTTTCGGTTAGAGAATTGTATAAAAGAATGAGACGTGAGATTTCCGGTACCAATCTGATCTCGTCATTTGAAAGGCTGTAAACATGCGTCTTCTCTTCGTTTTCGCAATTCTAGCCGTGCTGGCATACACCGCTAGTGAGTATTTCCGGAACTTCTTCTAGATATTTAAATAATTCAAATTGAAAGGCTTTCTTTTATTCTTTCAAAAATTAGTAATTGATGAATTTTGGCTACTGAAATGATGATTTTCATAATTGTTTATTTTTCTGAACAATATTCATATTTTGATTATACTTGACAGGTGCCCAACGTTGCCCCCCCAATTCAAGATGGCGATCATGTGGCCCTAGATGTCCGGGCCATTGTGGAAGCCCGAGACGAAGCTGTCCTTTCGTAAGAATTATTAACAAATTATTAACTCGGAACATGAGGTGAAAATTCTCGTCTAGATTATCAGATTCATGATTAGAAAATGAAGACGTTGGCAGGAAATTGTCACAATGTAGGATTCGAGGTGGTTGTAGGTTGGGAAGGTATCGAATCGCTACGCGAAACAACCGTTGCAAACTAGATAATTAGTTTATTGTCGAAATGAATATGTACAAATGAGTCGGTATGAATGTACACATATACACGATGAGAGGTGGAGTACCTCCACCGAGTGGTGAGAGTCACATGACTGCTCTAGCAAAAGCGATTGCGACAACTGAGGTGTATGTGCGGTCGTCAGGTGTGAGTCAGTGTGAATTCGGCCATCTCACGTTAGACGTAGCGAGGCGCTACCAGAAGACCTTTTAAGGGTACAGTAGACTCTCGTTATAGTCGCATTCGTTATAGTCGCATTTCCCCTCATATCGATTCTTTCGAGCTCGAGCGCTTCCCCCACTCCGTACCACCTCCGAGGTGTGGATTTAAATGCCCCTGTGTTTTCTTGGAATGGGCTTTGTTTTGCATTTCTAAGAAATTCGGGAAATAAAATTTAGGAAAAATGAATTTGCGAGAGAGAAATTCAGTTCACTCTTGACTGTCACGAAGAGAGGGTCTTTGCAGTGGTGCATAATCCTGCTTTTTATTTGAATGAAGTGAATAAATTTTGGAGTGTATTGAACAATGCGATGTTATTAATATTTCTATTCATTTCATTAATTTACTAAAAGTGTTCAACGCAATTCATTTTGTTAATTTAATAAAAGTGTTTAATGAAAATAATTTTTATATTTAATAAAAATGTAGAATGCAAATTGAAGAGAAAAATAATTGGAGTAAAATTTATTTTCTTATCGCTCCCGATTCCCGGAATTTAGGCTTACCGTGAGCGCCTGGTGGGGGAAGAGAAATACAGTCCCATTTTCAGAATCGGTTGCCCCTACAGCCCCGTGAGTGCGACTATAACGAGAGTCTACTGTAGTAAATTTTGTTCACGTAAAATTTCAGTTTTGCCCAAAATTTTGCCACCCCATTTTATTCAATTTTACATTTACTCCATACGTCAATGCAGGTTCTGTATCGGTGATGGGGTCCCCGAGGTAACTTGGGTAAATTCTATGTTTTTTCGGCCGCTGATTCCAAATTTGTTGGTTATCCGGCCGAAAAGTTAGCGGTTTAATTGTTATTAACAATTTAATTGTTTAAAACGCCGTATCTCGCAACCTATGGCAGATACGAAAAAAAAGTCGAATTCAATAATGTTTCTTTATTTATTTGCAACAACTTTTATCTTCTGCAAAATTTTGATTAACTTATTAGTTGACGAGATATACGCGACGAAAGAGTTACGCTGCCGATCGCTTGTGTCCAGCCGCGCATGGGCACACGCTCTGTGGGAAACTTGATCCACGTTGAGGTGACAGTTGCGAGTTCAGAAGAATTTTCTCCATTATTGAATCAAACACCGTATCAATTTTGGACAAAATCTGACTAGATTTCAGTAATAGAGCCGATAGTGCTATGAGTAACTCTAGTGAGTGTAAACACTGTTAGAAATAAATTGAAAGGCAGTCTCTATTCGCACGTTCCATGGTAAATTTTACCATGGATGCACGGGTAGATTCTCACTCACATCTTGTCTGACATCTCTGCTATGAACTCTGGTTTTCAACTCTGGCAGTTCAGTTGGAAACCAGAGTTGTGACAACATTGTCCAGTGGGGTCTAGGAGTCTCCCCTGGTTAAAAAATCATCCTTAGAATCATTTGCACGCCATTCCGAGACTCGCTCTTCAATTCGGGGCCGAAAAACACATTCACATCTTGTCCGAGATCTCTGCTATACACTTTGGTTTTGAACTCTGGTTTCAGATCCTTACGAAACGTCTCTATAAGACGGGTTTCTCATAAGACGAAGTAAGGAAATTCCTTACGGCTCTATTGAGTGAAAGCAACTGGTGTGAGAATGTGCGAGTGCATGCGGCAGGATTCTTAACATTGCGAGATACGGCTTTTAAACAATTAAATTATTAATAACAATTAAACCGCTAACTTTTCGGCCGGATTAATAACAAATTCGGAATCAGCGGCCGAAAAAACATACAATTAACCCAAGTTACCTCGGGGAACCCATCACCGATACAGAACCTGCATTGGCGTATGGACTAATTTGACTCTCGATAGCTTTTAATTGAATTGTTTGCAATTATCTATCCGGAAACGTATGCTTTTCAATGTAGAAAGTATAGCGAACAAAGTAGTATACGGTTAAGTTTTAAAACTGAATTATTGGATCGAAGGTGAGAGTATAAGCTCTTATGGACGCAATGTGTTGAATTTCATTGTTCAAAAATCGTTTTTCCGAAAAAATATTCAGAAACTAAGGTTGATATGGCGCTTCAAAAATACTCTTGGTCTGTTCTATAAATTCTGAAAACGATTTCTCCCAGAAAAATTATCCGGACTGCTTGGATATCCTTAATCTGAAAAATTCACTGCTCCTGTCAATCATTCGCCACTCCTTTACACTTTTAGGCCAACGTCGCCGTCATTTTCGAACTTCAATCAATTAATTACTCGAAGAGGAACTTTCGACTCAAAATGTCACCCTCTTTTATCCCACAAAATAATCATAGAGTTCTGTTGATTCAATAAGAATATTTCTTCCAGCGTTGCACGGGTGGATGCTTCTGCAATCGTGGTTGGATACGACGATTCGATCGCTGGAACAGTCCCTGCGTGAGACCAAACCAGTGCCCCCGACCAGGAAAATAAATCTGTTAAACTTATAGAAGCTGTTATTTTCAATGGAATAATACTAATGAATTAAAATTGTGAAAAGATGTTGATGGGCTAATTTCGGTAGGAATTTTCTCGTATTGTGACGTGTATGGATTTCCAATAAATAAAAAAATTAAAAATATTGATAATTGAGAGCGATACAATTTTTTGAAAATCTCAAATTTCTTTTAACGATTTTTGTTTATTCTAAATGTGGACAAATATTTCAGCGGGATTTCAAACTATCAAATCCCCCTTTGGCGCAGTCGGAGAACATGAAAAACCCTTCATATTCATATTCAACCAAATTTTTTTGAGAAGATGCAAGATGTTTCTATTAAATATTCTTGTGTAAAGTGGTAACATGTAGTGTACCGCTTTACACAAACGTAACATTTCATAACCAATTCATTGCATAAAAAAAAAGCAAAATAAGTTTTATCGAGTTTTTGGTGGGTTCTTATTTTTTACATGTACCACTTGGGGCGCTCTTCATGGAACGCTCCCCACTAGTCCTCCCACCTTGCATTCTGTGAACCTAAATCTCGAATGTCGTATTTCTTATGAATTTTTTTACAAATCTTTCCGTTTTGTTTCAATCTGCATCGATTGAAAAATTATTCCTCAACTCATAGACACTGATAAAAATCAATGGTTTGCTTACATTTTGTCTACAGATCCTTGTGAAGTAACTGAATCCAACTGTCTGGACACTACGAAAGGATCGATAAATGGATCAGTCGATCGAGCATCCGGATAAATGTAATTTTAGGAATTTATTGCACTCTGTGTAATATAAATGAATATTGTAATCCGTGCAGAAATAATGGCGCTTCGAGAGGAAAACAATGAAAATTGACTTGGATACTTTGAATATTTACTCGTTCGAAATTATGCTGCTATGTTGCTCCAAATTCGGCTATTTGGGTCCCATTCGAAAACTAGTGGGACCACGATATTGCTCTCAGATAAAATCCATTTGTCCTATTCATGTGAATCATTAAAAAAGATGGGGACGATATGAAAAACAAAAAATTTGAAATTTGAAATTCGGGAACTTGGAATTTGAAGGAACTGAAATGTTTCGTAAGAAATTTCAACTTCCCGAATTTTCAATTTTAAATTTCGAATTTCGAATGACAAATTTCAAATTTCAAAATTTCAGAATTTTCAATTTCAAATTTCAACTCGCATGGGGAAGTTATACTTGCGTCTCTCAAAGAGACCCATGTATAGGGACGGTTCATTCGGTAAGACAGGTTTCTAACCCCGTCCATTTCAACCCCTGGTCCATGTTGCCCTATTCTCCCCAACATGGGGTTTCATGGAGGTCATTGTTGTGGTCACTTATAGAATCAGAGCTGTGATAACGAACAAAAAATCAGAGTTCAAGAAGTTTTATTTTTAGACTGGAAAACGCCAGCATACTAATATTGTTATAAATAGTCAGAGGACTGTTTTAACGCTTAATTAAAATTTTCAAAATAGTTATTCCACGACTTACAAGGTCCTGCGTGGGAGAATTATTTCCTCATGGATTCCCTACCTTGAAGTGCTGGGCATATCTCCTGTGTCGTTGAGTCTGGATCGAGTCTCGGGATAATAATTAACCTAGGTATTCCAAGTTCAGTCAAAATAATAAAATCTCAGTTCCCCGTAAAAATTTACTGACCCTATGATCGTTTGATGTATATAAGAATGCGCAAAACTGATTCCACAGTTAGCAGGATTAAACTAATATTGAACTAAGTCTATGTCCCAAAATGTGTAATTTGATAATTTCGCGAAAGACTGATGATGCTAGACGGACGGGTAGAAGTACTGTTTTCTTAGTTTTATTTTAATTGCAGTGAGGTAGTCGGTGATTTTATAATTTTAAGTTTTAATAGGTCTCACCCCTATTGAGCGGGCCGAACACGGCGCGAGCCGTCGGCAGCGGATGTCTGTTCTTCTATAAGTCATGATGGTTGTATCTGCCCCTTTCTCAGCACGCGAATTCCTTGAGGTGTAGTTCTCAGAGTAACGTTATTATTATTACAAAGGATCACAAATTTTATGTTAATGTTCTTTCACTACCGAGTAGATTACTTAATAACTTTTGAGTCCAGTGACACGTAATGTATGGTATGCTCGATTTAACGACTACGACGGTCTGCGTAATTACCGATCGGTTGGCGGCCCAAGACTAAGGGTAACGAGCTCGGCTTTGGGGTGTGTGAGGAATAACCCAGGAGTCAATTTTTTTGTGTTAATCTGCCGTCGGTGAGACAGTGACTGACTGCATATAGCGTCCCGAGTTGCAGTCCGCCCTGGAAGGATGCTTAGCTCATCACCTCCAGGGCACACGTCCAAATCGGCGCTCAGGGCTAAGTTGTGTGGGTGTAAGAATGCGCTGATCCTCGCGGTCTTCGACTCGCGACATCCGCTGGACGACGATTCTCGAGCCTAATAAACTCAGTTTATAACAGCGGAATAATGTAAAATTTTAAGATGAAATTTCGTACATAACAATATTCATTGATTGAATGCAAAACATTCCCAATCGTATCATTTCTACTGGAAAAATAATCGAATTAGTTAAAAAAAACGTAATTTTAGGCGTTTTTCACAAGTGTTTTGCGAATTACTAGAGAACCCCTGAGACGATCGTTTTTACTAACTAATCAGTTCTAAGTTACACAAAGATGCATCGATTGGAAAACAAAATTTTAATCGCATCATCCGTTAAAGAGTAATCGTCGTCGAAAAACATTTTAAAAAACAAATTTTTAAAAAACACCCACGCGAACATGTCTTCAAAATTTGTTCAAAATGATTCTAAATGTCAAGAAATGTGGAAAAATCATGGAAATTCCACATTCAATTTTTGGGATCATTACTGTAACTACCCAATAGATCGGAAAGTTAAAAATGTTGGTTAATTTTTACGATCTAGTGTAATACAGGATCGGGAGCAGGATTGAAACAATCAATCTGTGAATAGAGATGGTCCAGTCTCACAAAAGTTTATTGAAAGATGGAAACACATTCTTTCATAAATAATTCTTCTCATTTCTCAGGTGTGATGGTATCAGAATTCTTCTCTTCCTCGTTAGTCTCCTTGTTCTTATGTGAATCGTCTGGCTTCATAGCTGGGAAGAATAATACTTCCTTGATATTGTTGGAGTCCGTGAGGAACATTGTGAGTCTATCAACTCCTAGTCCCCAGCCAGCAGTGGGCGGAAGACCATATTCGAGAGCTGTACAGAAGTTTTCGTCGACTAATTGAGCCTCGTCGTCACCTGCCGCTTTGTCTTTAGCTTGTTGCTCGAATCTACAAAACAAAATATTAATCAAGATGAATCATTTCAGAAGAGGAGTAATACAGAATTAAATTATTGTCATTGATTGTATGAAACTCTATTTGTATGACTTTAAATGAATTTATAGTTGAGTTTCTGTCTATTGTACGGGTTATTTGCAATTATTAATTCGAGAAATACTATAAATTGTTTGTTATTCTGAAATTAGACCGAACGCGCGCTAATCTTCCACCTCATTAACTTGTGTGAACTTTTCTTTTCTTCATTTCAATTCAACATTTGTTAAATTTCATACGCTCATAAATGGACTATACCAATTATCGATACAAAGAAAAACAAGGGGAAAATTGCTTTCATCATAACATAGTCAATAAATTTTTGTCACTAAATTAGCAATTTGTTTACAAATGGAATTTTGATGACGATGTATTTTCAATTGAATTCGATGATTCAGTGAATTCAACATTGCCCCAACCTCAGCAGCCAACATTGCCCGAACGTTGGTAGCCAACATTGCCTCAACGTTGGCGGGCAACATTGCCCCAACGTTAAAGTTTTTGACCTTTCCCTGAATACTGGTTTCAAAACAAATTTTTTCACCAACAGATGATATATTCAATCTTATGATCGAACTCAGTCAAGATGGCATTAGGAAGAATATTCCAATAAGACGATCCAATAGGGAAGAATTAATAAAAATTAATAGGGAAGTATTAATCAATTTTGCTTTCGGCGGCAAGACATTGGGAATGGATCTGGTTCGAGTCCAACTGCGGGAAGTATTTTTTTAACCCTTCTACCAGTGAGGAAGTGTTGACAATGTAAGAATCCAGGTGTATATGACACATACATGTAACCCTTAAGCGAATCATTAATAAAATACATATTCAATAACTACCCCATTCGTGAAATTGGAAATTTGAAAAAAATTTTTGAACATCTTTAAATTGTTGCATTAAAGTCACTAAAATATACAGTCCCAATTTGTTCTCCCTAACCAACTGCCTAAATATAACCAAATTGAGGAAGAAATATAATATTATTAATATTTACTTCAACAGTCTTCAGTTGTAATGCAGACTAAACATGGAATAATTATCCACTTCGCAAAACAGTGGGTCATCAATCCCCTTGACATGCTTATAAAAAGATGATCCTAAATTTTCGGCATCAGTCCGATTTTCATCATCTGAACGGGTCTGAAGATGCGTGCTCTTTTCATCCTCGCCATTTTTCTGGTGTTCGCATACACCGTCTGTAAGTATTCCATAAGTTCCTACTGATATTCAAGAAAGTAATATGAAAAAAATGAGTCTTCTGGTTTTGCAGTTTTTGCTGTATTCTGGTCGTTAAAATTATAATGTTAAATTATGAGAATATTGAAATTTCAATAACTCCGTCAGATGCTGAACCACAGCCCCGCGGTCGACGTTGCCCTGCCACGACAGTCTGACGACGATGCGGTCCTAGGTGTCAAAGAACGTGTACAAATCCTAGAGCTGGCTGCTCTGCCCGGGTAAGGATTATTAATGAATCGTTATTTATAAACAATCATACGAATATCACATGATTCGAATTTTTCATTACACAAAAAGGTTTGCTACTTTCCATGAAATAAAGATATACGCAGAAAAAATTCTAGGAAAAATGACATGACAACTCAGATAATTCCGTCGTAAATTCGCAACTGTCAAGCAAAAGATGATTATTCCCTTTCAATTCAATTCATTCAATTCATTCACATTCAATTGCGAATAAGGAAGCTAAACCCACTCGCTTCTCCGATGTAATTTTTGATAAACAGAGTACCTCTCCGCACTCTCTGCATTTTTGATTCTCACTCAAAGTTTTGATGTCAATCAAACGTCGCCGATGAACCAAGTGGAGGTTAGCACTCGTCTCGGGGGGACTATTGCTGATTTCTGCATCCATTTTGTTTCTTTTTCTTTTACCCGCTTCCACTTGGCTTAATCTCTGATGATAAATGCTTTCCGTCACACGTTTTCGCTTCCACAAGAACATTTTCTTACCATTTTTATCAAATATAATTTTACCCGGTTCACTGGACGCCATGACATTTCAACTTCCACACATACATATACTCGACTACGCTGAGGGGCCCATGAGTGGATGACAGGCATGCGCACTATGGCGCTCCTTGCTACGTTGTCAAATTTAGAGAGTTACTGCTAGTGAAAATTCTCTAGCTGGGGGAATACCGATGTTATCTTAGAAGCACCATTTTTTTCATAAGCTAAAATGGGCTGTAATGCCCTAACATCCTTAACAAATAAAAATTTTCATGAGAGATTTGACAACCACGCATTCTTGTTCGATGCAGCTGGTATTCTTGTCTCCCGACAGAATCCTATACTGCACTATTGGTGCAGTCAATCTGGAAATGGCTCATACCTGTGACATATCAAATAGTCTGCACAACATGAAATTCATACCGAAATGTTTAGAAAATGGCGTCATGCACGCGCGCAGCAGGGGGTGGGGCTTACGTTGTCAACAAGGTGTATGGGGCACTTCTGGGTGAAAAATCTTTGTGAGTTAATTGCAAGTAAACTGCTGGTCCTAGAACACAACTTATCGCTTGATTTTTGTAGAGAATCATCTACTCTATTTTCTTATATTTTTATTTTTCCGATCGGATATGTTGAACATGAGTTATATGCGTTTTTGGCGTTAACCTCGAAAATTTCATAAGTTTTTTGTTAATTAACAATATTAGCGAAACACCTAAACCCGCTCCATTTTGATATGTTGTTCAGGGTCATTTTCTGAACATTTTGGTATGAATTTCATGCTGTACAATTTGGCACTATGAACTCCAGATTGACAGTACTATATAGAACCTATAGTATATGCTTTGGCTGAGTTCACACAATGGCCTCCATCGCGCATACTCTACCCTCCCTCAACGTTGCCATGTTCAGATATCAGTTTACTCTAAACGTAACTAAAATCCCAAACTATGCTATACATTTTCAATAATTACAAAGAATCTGTGTGGTGATGGCTAATGAAATTGTGGGGATATGTTCCTGAAATATATACGGTTCTATTCGTGAAACGTCTGGATTTTTATTCCCTTGATCATTTTTTTGTGATTTTTGAAAAAGTGGTGTCATAAGACACTATGTTAATGACACATTTTTCATATTTTCTTCTCAATAATCTACGTGGTTCAACGTTTTGGGACTTCGAGAGGATATTTGTAATCACTCAAAGAATATATTCTCAAAATTTCCGCTCTCCAGTCCATTTCGTTCTACTCCCATATACTTACTGCGGAAGTTCCTTAACGTCAAAAATGTGAGATGGTCTTATAATTCTAGCTATTAATTCTAATCAACTTTGTTCGAAGAAAACCTTAGTAAACGTAATGTTAAGAAAGTAGAATTATTCTACTTTCCTCTGTCCTCAATCATTTGGGGAATTATGATTCGTTTATTCGTGTTTCATACAATGGTATTCAATTCCCATTTGTTTGTTAGGCGGGCTTCATGAAAATTCGACCCAAGACGATCGTACTTATGAAAATCGCGTTATTTTCTCCATTCGTTCGAGATATCCGCCATGTTCGAGTTTTCATTTTCGATTCGAGATATTGCCTACGCTTTTTCTTTAGAAAAGACAAGTAAATGAAAAGGCACATTTCGGCACGAGGTGAACGTACCAGCAGTGGCATAAACATATTTTCTCAGGACAAAACCAACTGGAACACCAGAACTCGATGATGATAAACATATTCTCATCTTATATATTCTTATCTGTTCATCACGGTGGGAGATAATTTTCTTTTGTTCGAGAAAGTAATCGCCCGTTTATAATTTTCCCATTAACGGCCATGTTCTCAGAATTGAATACCCTTTGTGGTATCGTCCAGAAAAATAAATGAGACTTCTATGAATATCAGATAATATTAGGAAATACTGTCGTCATCGCAAGTTAAGGAATGACGATTACCCAGCCCCTTCAATCCACAGTAGATCTTCTTGGTGCGAATCAAATCATGTTATGCACGAAAAGTTCTATATTGAATCCGATAAAAATATTATTTCAGATGTACACGTACTGTATGCTCGTCATCTCTAGTCTCGGATTCATAAGACGTAGTGAAAGTGGAATATGTTTCAGATTGTGCCCCAGATACAATTCCACAACCACTTGCGAATCCAAAATTTCGAGTCTGAATTATAAAACTGTGTCATAAACTTCACTGAATTCTTCATTAAGATAGAGATTGTGAAGATGTTGATATCAATGAAACCATCTCGCTGTTAGTATTTACGCAATTAAATCATCCACTGCAATCCAGTTATTTGCCATCACAATAAACACAATTTCTGAAGAAATTTCCTCATGAGCCATTCACAATCCCTTGAATAATTCATGATACGGCGATAATCGCAAGACGAAATTCATTTGTAATTTATGCTTTACGACAAAGTTATATAAAAGGACAGAACGTGACACTTTTCACGTCAATGTGACATTGTGATTTAAAAATTGTGAAAATGGGGACTATTTATCTCTTCACTCTTGCGCTTGGGCTTGTATCCATCACGAGTAAGTAACTCATTACATTCCCTCATCACCTTTTTACATTATTTGTCATAGTCTTGGAATATTTGAACTAGATTTTGATGAAATTTCATGTATTGGTACTTTCAACAGATGCGCAACCTCAACTTGGGCTGGGAGCTCTCAATCCCTGTGGCCCAAATCAGTCTTTTCGTCTGTGTGGACCTCTCTGTCCTGCACTTTGCGGAAATCTCAGGCCAATATGCGATGTAACCGTAAGAGATTATGATAATTATCACTACTGGAAGGATCATCACAATCGGAAATGATTCTCTTGCCGTGTTTTTTTCAGATTTGCATACCAGGATGCTTCTGCAACCCTGGGTATGTGCGACTGATACGCAATGGTCCATGTGTAAGAATATGTCCCGTAGGTCCTGGCGTTTTAGGTCTGGGCTAGACATTATACGACTTACGAATTTCTGAACGGTGATTCGGTTTGTGGAACGAGATACTGTTAGAAAAAAAATTAAATTTCATGGACAGTTGACTACTAATATAGGGGACAGTGACACTGAATGCGATTCCTCTTTTAATTAAAAAAAGAATGTAACGTTTTTTGTCACCAATCTATTCCGCCATGCCTATGCTTAGGAATATTTCCATCTTAAACTTGAATACCTTTTCATTTAATTTCTTTCAAATTATCTATATTAATTATCCATTATATATATTATAATAAAGAAAAAAATAATATATGATATAAAAAAAATTATGTTTACATTTCTATTTTTTCATTCATTTCATTTTTTTAAATATAATTTTTAGATATATTATTGATATCTTTATATTTTTTTTATATAAAGATTTTCTAATTTAATTATATATTCTTTATTCCATTTTACGGACTTTGTTCGGCTTCCGTCACCGTTACCTCATACATAATTGTCCTTAACCTAATTTTCCCTTTCATACATCTATTCATATCCCTATTTCTTGCTCCTCACCATCCTCTCTCCTCTCGCTCTTTTCTCTCCTCTCAACCGCTTGAAAGTTGCTCAACTTAACTTAACTTAAAAATGACTATTTAACGAAAAAGAAAAAAAGAAAAACAGGAATAAGTTCAAGTCTCTTTTTAAGTCCCTTTATCTCCTCTTTTTCTCAACTCTCTCCTCACTAGTGGAGGGGGGGGGGCTCCTCTTCCGGGTCTGTGGCGACTATTCTTTCACTTTCCTCCTAATGTCCCTCCCTCACGATCCTTCCCATTCCTTCCCTCCTCCCCTCTCTTCTTCCTTCCAAACCCCTTAACCAACTCACACCCCTTCCATTCTCATCCAGCACCTCACGGATCTTCTCCTCCAGCGCCCTATTCCTTTCCAACTCCGGCTCTTCCGTGCACCTCTCAAAAACATGTCCCCACGTCACCACTTCCCCCATACACACTCTGCATACTCTTTCCGACTCATCCCTCCAATATTCCGACTCCAGCACTCCTCCCCCCACTCTGAACTTAAACATTCTTTGCCATTTTTCCTTCTTTTTCATGGACTCCAGATACAACGGGACACCTTCCGTCGATCTAACGAACTTATACCACTTGTTGTATCTGGACTCCATTATTTTTCCTATTGTCTCCCTGAACGCTTCCTTAATTCTCTCTATCCCTCTCATCTCTATCCCTCTCCATTCCATTGTGTCCCACAACACCGCCCTGTTCACGCTGTCAAAGGCCGCCTTAAAATCAACAAACAGGATGAACAAGCTTCCCCCCTTCTCCTTTTCCGCTCTGTTTATAAAGAACTTGAGCACGAAAATGTCCTCCATCGTACCCATCCCTTTCCTAAACCCCGCTTGATTATGGAGAATTAACCCTTTTGTCTCCGTCTCCTCCTCCAACCTTCTTCTCAACAACTCCATATATATTTTATACGACGTCGGCATCAAGGTTACCCCCCTATAATGCTCCACTCTCTTCCCCTCACCCTTTTTCAGCACCGGCGCGACCAACCCAACCTTCCACTCCTCCGGCCACCCTTCCCCTGTCCATACTTTCCTGCACACACCCCAGATCGCTCTGATTACCTTATCGCCCCCCCACTTAAACACTTCGTTCTCCAATTCATCAATTCCTGGCGTCTTCCTCATTTTCAGTTTTCTCACCACATTGCGTACTTCTTCCATACTCGGCTCTTCCATTCCCTTCCCTTCTACTCTTCTTCTTCCGAGACCCACCACCCTACTATCCACACCTCCGAGCAAATCAATAAAGTATTCCGACCATTCACTCATTCCAATTCTCTCACATACTCCTTTTTTCCTCTTCCTCTCTCTATTCACAATTTCCCATTCTCTTCCCTCTCACCGCCTCTTCCACTTCCAGCTCATACCTTCTCCTTTCCTCCTCCTTTTTTACGTCTAACATGGTCTGAAATTTTTTTTTTTCCTCAACCCACTCCTCCTTACTCGCCATTCCATTCCTCCATTCCCTCGTCTTCTCTTTCACCCTCTTCTTTGCTTCCACACATTCGCCATCCCACCACCCTCTCTTCTTCTCCTCCACTGGCAGCTCCTTCTCCAACTTCCCCTTGGCACTCTCTACAGCTTCCCGTACTCCTCTCAAAATCTCATTCACACCTCTCTCCTCCATACCGTCCACATTCCATCCTCCCATACATTCAGCAAACATCACCCTCCCCCTCTCCCCAAACTTGGTCAGAGGTCGTATCATTCTCCTGCCTCCTCTCCCTCCTTTGCGAATCCTCTCACTTTTCCGTCCCTCCCTTCTACCTTCGCTCCGTAGCCGCACAGCTAGCCCAAAATGATCCGATCCCGGCTCATCCTCCACATTCATACTTAGTCCAGTAAAATTAGAATTTTAACATCGAAATTAACCAAAGGGCACCAAATTACACCAATCGATAACTTAAAGTGTAATTATTAATCTTTTAAAAAGTATATGCTCAAATTTGCCGGGGTGATTTACAATTTGTTATAAACAATTGGGAATTGCCGACAGGCCGTCTTCAATCCTACATATCTTTAGTTAACTTCATCAGATGGCAAAAAAAAAATATTTCTTTGTAGCTGAGAAAATGTCCTATCGGGGGGAGTTAGGAACTTATAGCCCAAAATGTACCGTTAATTTATTATAAATTATAATAGCAATTTCGGAGCAGTCGGCGCAACGCGTCAGCTGTTACCCTCCCTGCGATAGTGCCATGAGTCACGTGATTGGCGCCATGCGCAACTTATTCAAACCTCCTGCTGCGCTCAACGCAATATCCCTCAGCTGGATTTTTGATGAATATCTCTGAATCTGTGGCTAGTAGTCAAATTTTCATTATAAACTTTTTTGTAGATCTTTATTTGCTCTATAAAAATGGTTTTGACAAAAATTTTGCTATTCTCCAAAGTTTCCGAGATATTCAATGAAAAATTAACAATATTTAAAATATTTTTCATTGAATTAGTGTCAAGTTTCTTTCGATTGTGGACCATCTCGAAAACCATTGAGTATTGGGTCAACTGTTTATGTAATAAATAATGACAGTTTCTTCTTACCTGTCTCGTTGCACCACAGGATCATTCAACTCAGTATAAGCATTGCAGACCTCCTTCTTCATGACGAACAGCTCGAACCTCTCAGTGAGGCCCTTCTCCGATCTGTGCCACTTGGCAAGTGGCGACATGATCTGCGGGTGGTCCACGATGAAGGTAGGATTGATGCAGGTCTCCTCGATGAAGTCTCCAACGAGTTTGTCCAGTAATCTGGCTGTTGTCCTGGGTGCAGGGCACTCCACCCCGTGCTTGATACACAAATCACTCAGGAATTGATTCGCCTCTTTTGTGTTGAGTTTGTCAGCCTCTGGGAACTTGACCTTCAACTTCTCCTCGAGGGTTTTTATCATCGAGACTCGTCTGAATGGAGGCGTGAAGTCAATCTCAACTGCCTCACCCTCTGGACCGTCCGGGTGGTACTGAACCTTGTAACCACCGTGAATACTCTTCACCATTCCTGACACCATGTCCTCGGTTATTTTCATGAGGTCATTATAATCAGCGTATGCCATGTAAAATTCACAGGTTGTAAATTCCGGATTGTGAGTCATGTCTATTCCCTCGTTTCTGAATTGACGGCCGATTTCGTATACTCGGTCGATACCTCCGACTATTAACATCTGGGGGGTGGAGAATGTTTGAGTTTTTAAGGGTGTCATTTGTGTTTTATAAAAAAAAATTGAAAAATTTCTTTCCCTTCTCCAGTACACAAAAGGACATCATT